GGGCAGTGTTAAAGATTTTACCCCAAAATTGTCAGTGAATGAACAATTTCCATTATGGAGATCACCGTAAATAAAGACTCAACCCACATAAACTGGTGAATTGATATGATCCTCTCTTAATTTACAGACTTGATCAGAGAGTGTACAGGAACACATATTAAAAAGATGCTTGAGTGAAAATTCTCAATGCAAAATTCAAAATTTGCTAAACAATATTCAGTTGTAATGGTTAATGATGTGATAAAAATGCATACATGTATCTGGAAATCAAGCTGACACCGTGGGCCAGTTTGTTTCACATGGTTCTGGATCTCGATCAGTGATCCCATCACTAGTTTGCTCCATCCAGAAGGCAGATTTTGATGTCAGTAAACCTACGGCAGGGTTCCAAGTGTAAGTCATGTTTACCTAATGGCAAATATATTTGTAAGCTTTGTCTGCCATCCTGAGCAACTGAGGCGAATATTCAGGGCATTTAAAAACTGCAGAGGGTGTACAATTGTGCATTCAACCAAAATCATCCTTTGCATGATGCAATGTTTTGAGTTAACAAATTACCCAACATTTCTGCAGTTTCACACTCAACTTATCTCTGACTGTTAACAACACATTGAATGTGTGGGGAAATTCACTGTCTGCGATTGGACTTGAACTTGGTCACAATACACGATAGGCTGTAGACCTATTGTAGCAAATTATCAAACCAGTGGACAGGCCTTCATCACAGTGTTGAAGAATGTGAGAAAAAAAGTATGCCAATGACTCATTGGTGAGTGGGGCAAAGGGCAAAGATAGTACTGGTGATGTTTGGCTGTGTGGGTCATTCCACGAAGTGCGGGCACAGTTTGTGATGGCGTCCCCTGTTACATCAGTGGAAATAAACATCTTTTTTCCCTGCATGTGGATTCTAAATTGACATTGTTCTAAATCTTGCTAGGTTCTTGTAGTGGTGTGCTTCACCTTTGCTAAATAATATTGACTTAATCTGTCGTAATGTGAAAATAAAGGACAATAAAAGTTACCAGTGTAACAAGGGACGCCGTCACAAACTGTGCCCGAACTTCATGGAATGACCCGTAAGTGAATATTTAGCCTTTTCAAAGGTATGATTTTTCAGCAATAATCACTATGCCAACCTGATACCCCTACCCTTAATCCTAGACTACTCTGGCATAATTATGTCAGCCCTTTTGCACCCTACATCATTTCTTTGGGATTATTACTAAACACCCTACTCACCAAAACCAGGTATAAACAAATTCTCTGGCCTTTCATGAAGTGGGCAAACTATCATCTTGAATCTGGGTTAACATCTTTGGGAAAAAAAACTTGAGAACTAAATTTTTCTTGCACTAATCAGTATTCTTCCAGAAGTACCGTACACTATACATGTAGTTTGCCGGTCTTTTTGTCCTCTACATATTTGAGTCTATATGCTGCATCTGTGCACTCTGGGATTAAAAAACGTACAACAATGGGGCACAAACACAGACTGAATGAATGGAAAGGTGGACTGCACTGTGGGAAATTTGTAAATTAAGCCTGTTATGACAATGTGAACCAATATGTCATTTTCTCACTTGCTAGGAAACGGTTTGTAACCAGTTTCCCCTTGTTTTGCAATGGATGTTCCAGGTAGCCAGTGTGATGTCACAGTCACACCCTGCTGTTCCAGGGACCTTTTGTCTGATAAACCATAATTATGAACACATGCCCATTAATCGGAAAGTGTGAGCATTACAATGAACAAAATGTACAGGGGTACAAAATTAATAGTCATTTCATTTAGAATCTGCAAATTTTGAAAATTTTTTGAATAGGTTTCAAACTTTAGAACAATAAGAGCCTTTCACTTTCTTTAAGGTAGAATATCATTGAGCCTTTTCTTGCAAAACCCTTAGTCCTCTGACACAGTTCATGAAGCCCCATAAGAAATAGATATTGGTAACTTTATCCTTTCTTGTTTTCCGTTTTGACTTTTGAATGTTTTGGGCACTGTGTCCATGTACAGTACATGCATTCAATCCAGAGTGCTCCGTATTTTATCGTAAGCACATTTTCTGGTGCGGGTCCAAATTTGTGGCAGTGGAATCCAGTCACCAGGCTGTCTGGTGGGTCATAATAGGAATACAGACTTTTAGAAATTGAAGTTCAATTCCCGCCAATTCCAACCTCATTTTTTTCTCCAGCAGAAAGAAGTTCCTTAAACAGTTCAGTGCTTGTCTTGCAACAAACACAATGTTCATTTCATTCTTGCAACATGCTAACATGACAAAGCTTTGGAAAGTGAATGATCTCTCTTAAACACAAAGTCAAAGCTACATGTGCACGTACACCCACATGTACATGTACATTGACTTTAATGTTCATATGGGAGGGTAAGTGGCCCTCTGGGTGCATAAAGTGCAATGACCTTAAGTCTACACATTCTCCAATGGGAAGTTTTGCTTGATGCTCTAGATACGACACGTGAACTCATGGTAACCTTTTGCATTACATTATATAGGTCTGAGTAGGAATGCTGGGGCAGGGCACACTGTCAGTGAAGTGACACTGTTTCCCTAGGAGCTGTGAACACAGTAGCAAGCAAACCAAGTGAGGATGGGCGTTATTTGTCAGTAGATCCTGTTTGGCACACACATGCGAGTAAATCGAAGTGCACATACATGTACCTATTTTCGTCTGTTCAAGGCTCCCAATAAAGCCAGCACACAAATATGGCCTCATAAAACCCCCCATGTTCGCCCATCCCTCCAAAGCAAAGAAACGGCGCATGTGAGAGGGGCATATTGCCAGTGTGTGTTTTATTTTGTGCAGTTTTGTTTTTAAATGCAGACATTTTAGAAACAATAATATACTTTCCATGGGGAGGAAAAGGAGTTTTCACAGAAGAAAAATACAGTACCCCAACTCAAAACCTAGTTATGACACTGTTACCTCTGGAAGGATCAAATGGGGTTTCTGTGTCGGTAGCATCACTACTCCCTCCCGCATATTTTGGTATTTTGGTCCAAATTTCTTCACAAGCTCCCTCTGTAAATCACAACTCATTTGGGTTCATTTATGAGTATTCTATGATCAATAACCTGACAATCTGAGGGCAGACAAATGGTGGCTTTTGAAGCTTTGTACAACTGCTGCCTGAAAACAAGAAACAGTCCTAAAGATGGTGGGCCTACTACGTCTCAAAGGAACTTTAAAGGACACAGTGGCACAGTAGTAGCTGTTAGAAGCATGGCGGACACAATATGAGGGTACAAGTTAAAGTGGATAAAGTTGGAGTAAACAGAAAGATTTTATCCAATCCACAGCTCAGATAGGCTAATGTACTGCATTTTACTGGGAAAGACCCAAGCAATACAGTAGTTCATCTGCCAACATGATTGATGTGTTTAAAACTCTTGATTCAATGCCATTACAGTATTGAGTTTATCTGAACTTTAACTAGCTATTTGAAATGACTTGTTTCATGCTGTTGTGTATACAATGTACTCTCATTATTACAAACTCAGCTAAGGCAAAAGTCAAGTTAAAACAAATACTGGTACAGATCTTCAGCCCAAATGAATATTATTACACCGGGGGAAAAAAGCTGTAACAAAGAAATCGCACTGTACCAAATTCCTGTTACACTGAAAAAGTTGTGAATGTTGTACTACAATCATTGTAGGCAACCATTTATAACAACAGTTCACAAATTCTGGATCACTGTCTTTTATCCAGACTAAAATCAGGATTTGCCCTCAGTAGGTGTCCCTCAATCTCTTATTAGTTGAAAGCAGCTGAAAAGAGGATGGCTGTAATGTCTGCAGAAATGTATTCATTCATCTGTGTCACATACACATTGCCGCAGGGAAGTTATTTAGATGAGTGAGGATCTTTTCTTACAGTACGCTTTTCAAGTTCTTAACTTAAAAAATTAAGGCCATTTACCCCTCAAAATCCCATAAATTACTGATTACCCTTCCCGTTGAGGTGAAAAAGAAGACTAAAGATGAAACAATTTTAAAACCTTTAACTAAAAATAAAACAAGCTGAAAAACTATAAAATGCCTGTTCACATCTGTCATGCAACTTGAAGTCTGTCATAGTAGTGAACTTTGCTTCACCTTTATTAGATGTCCATCAAATAAGTATACACACAATTCATGAGCGCTGCATTTGCCTCTTTAAAATACTTTGTAAAGGGAGAACACTTTTGTCAAAAGTAGTCTACTCTCCTTCCAAAACCGCATTGTACACTACATGTACAATTGGTTTAAGTTTTGCTACACCCTCTTGATAGACGTGACAAGTCTCTTATGAGAGTTTGACTGATATGCACAGCTTTAATTGGAGACTTTTTAATGACAATAGTTGTTGTTTATAAGGATTCTTACTGCACATTTTGTGGTACTTGAAGTTCTCAAAGCACTTGGTCCTGGTTATTCACTGAACTTTAAGACATGATTTGTTGGCCTCAATTCTGCAGCTTTGGATGGTCCTTTGGGAAGTCTAATTATGATAGCTGTAGCTTTTGAAACGTTCACTGCTTGAGGAAGTTTTGGCAGAAACTTGCGGTATGTTGTTGCATGCATGTATTTTATGCACTGGTATGACTAAAAATAAAAGATTGGTGGCCCAATCTTTCACCTTGGCATCCACTGATCTGAAATACACAACAAATAGGCATTTGTTTTCACTGTTAAATGTAGTACACGTAATCCTGCACAAATACATTTCAATGAAAAAGTAGTGATACATCTCTTTTAATCATGAAACATGGAGTACATGCCAAATCTCCCTTTTGTCCAATCAAACTATAATAATTGCTCTGATTACTCAATACAACAAAGTATATTGGCAAAAAGCCAATAAATACAGTTAGCCTCTTAAACAGGAAGTGCTGTTGAAATGTGTTCAGTGCTGGTCAAGCTTAGGTTACATTGATGCCACTTTGAGTACACGTCATCAATTGCTTCTGTTTGTTGAGAAGTGCAGTTTAGTGGTCTTCCATATTGCCAAATCTGGCATCCGTGCTGGAAGCATGCAATGACTTACTCCTCAACTTCTGTAAAATGCTCACTGTTTGGACAAATTACTCAGTGGATTCAGGCTGTTGAAGGACCTTTAATTCTCACATGACCAACTGAAGTGGGCATTGGTAAAGATTATAAAAACTCACCAACCTTATATTTGTGATTTCAAAACCATAAAAAGGACCCTAGAAAATCTGAATTTCCATGGATAACTGTAGCCTTTTAAGTGTCAAAGGGCCAAAAGCAGGTGACAAAAGTGGGTGCAGATTGGATTTTGAGAAAGGCTGAGGAGCACTCACCACGATGCTTTACATTCTTGCCGAGTTGAATGTATAGGTTGCGCCCTAGTTGGTATCATAAAGTGAGGAACTATGGGAAATCTAGACCAGATTGTCAGGACTGTGCATGTCCAGTACATTCTGGGTTGCCTAAATAGCTAGTACAGCTCAGCACGCAAGAGGGGTCTTCACAAACACAAAACAAGAACATGTTGGATGGAGTTACAATAGAGCTAGGGGATCTTTCGCAAATACGGTAGTGGAGCATGTAATGAACCCAACAGTTCTAGGGGGAGGGTGGAGTGAGCTTGTTTTACACCAACAGGAATTAATTTGTGTGGACCTTTAACCAAAATAGACCCATGAGATGCAGTTTAAGTGAGCTTTGTATGGATGCCCAAGGTTGCCCCATCACAAAAAAAAAAAGAAAACATTATGGAGGTAAGGCTATGTGTAGCAAAATCATGCATATATGATCTCGCTATATAATATACACATACGTATCCTGAACATGTCCTCTTTGTGTTGAAGTCACCGTTGTTTTTCTTCTCACTTTAATGTCCTATTTTGAATCTGATAATCTCTCAACAGATGTTCCTTTGTGTCTTGTAATTCCTCTCGTTGAGTGAATTGTCAGATGGATTGCATTGATTATTCATCCAACAACATGCACTTGCAAGACTGTACCACAAAAACAGTGCAATGAAACCATTTGATAGGTTTTAATCAAACACTGAATCCTTGGTACGTGAGGGCACAGTTGCTCTGTTGGTAGGCTGTGGAAACAACAATTTCATTTTAAGTGACAGACAGAATACTCTATTTCACTTGACTTTATAACCCCACTGAGGGAACGTGCCACCTGTCATGAGTCCCAATTAGGTGTGTTAAGGTTAGCGCACAGTATTTGCCTGCAGTTGAGAACCCCCTGGTCTTTCTCTTTTGTTCCTGGACCTACCATATGTTTTGTACTGTCAATCAAGGACATTTATTGTATCAGGGATCCTACTGTACTGTTCAGGATTCCTATGTGAATGCAAAAATTAACTCCCATAGTGTGGACAATAATGTTAACGTAGTCCAACAAATAAAAATATACCAATTGCTTTTCACTGGAATTTTGCATTGATTTCCTTCAATTTGCTTTCTCTTGATTTTGCTATACATAACTTTACCTCCACTAAATCTGTTTTTCTGAAAAAGGGCAACCTTAGGGTCTACACAAAGTTCACATACACTGCATCTCATGGGTCTATTTTGGTCACACAGGGTAATGTATTTAAAAAAAAAGCTCACACCACTTCCTCTAGAAATATTGGATTTGTCGTATGCTCCACTACTGTATGTGTGACAGATGCCATGTTTCCTGTGCAACTCCATTCAACACGTTCTTATTCTGTAATTGTGAGGACCCCTCTTCCATGCTGAGCAGTACCAGCTATTGATTGGTCCCAAGCAATATTGGGCACACACAAAGTCCCCACAATCTGGTTTAATTTTCCCCACTTCCTCACTTTGTGATGCCATCCAGGTTTTACCTATACACTGAACAAAGCATCGTGGTGAGTGCTCCTCACCTTTTCTCAAAACCCAATCTCAACCCACTTGCATCACCTGCTTTTGGCCCATCGAACCACAAAGCTGTGGTCATTCATGGAAATTCAGATTTTCCGAGGTCCTTTTTAAGGTTTGAAAATCACAAATACACAAAAGGTGATGTAACTGTTTACAGTAATCTGCGATTCTACGTGGCATATTTTTGAGGTCTTTACTGATGCTCACTTCAGTTGCTCATGTGGGAATTTAATGAACTAATGAGTACATGTAGGCTTGTCAATGACACTTAACTTTATACAGACATTGAGGGGGAAGTGCATTGCATGCTTTCCACATGTCAGATTTGACAACTACTAAACTGCATTTCTCAACAAACAGAAGCAATTGATGACACACCGGCATGTCCTGCAGGTGACACCAATGTAAACGTACCCTTGACATGCAATGAACATATCAGTAAATCAACCGCACTTGCTATTCAAGAGGATACCTGTAACTTAACTCATTGGCCCCAGTAAACCTTTTTTATGAAGGGAAGATATTGCATGTATTTCTCCATGTTTCATGACTGAAAAAATGTATTACTATTCAGTGGAATGAATGTATACAAGAAATACGCGTACTAAAATTCAACAGTAAATACACACTAACATTTGTCCCATAATTCAGATCAGTGGACTGCCTAGGAGACAGATTATGAACTGTGCTACCACACTTTTGTTTGCACTCATGCCAACGCATCAAATATGTGCATACAAAAATATAGAGTATGTTTCTTCCAAAACTTCATCAAGCAGTGAGTATGTCAAAAGCTACTGTAATTAGACATGCCAAAGGAACAGCCAAAGCTCCAGAATTAAGGCCAACAAATCAATATTTAAGGTTTAAGTAAGGAACATGACCAGGTGGAAAAAATGCACGACAAAAACAACCAGTTAACTTAAATGACTGGCAATACAGTTTTGCCTATCAACATTTTTCCCTTAATAATATGTGCTTATTTTCAAAATCATGGTTGACACTGTACAGTCATTTACGAGCCCTTTATGGAATACTTCCAGGACAACAAAATATCAGTAAAGAATTCTTATTTCTAAACAAAAATCACTGTCATTCAAAAAGATTTATTAACCCCCCCAAAAATTTGAAACTGCACTACAAACTTATCAAGTCTGTCTACAGGGTATAACAAAATTCAAACCGATTGTCTATGAAGTGTACCATGTGGTTTATGGAGGAAGAGAGGTATACTTTTTATAAAATTGTTCTCCCTTGAAAATTTGTGTAAAGACAATTGTAGCACTCATGAATTGTTCTTGTACAGTTGTACATGTTTGGACAAATACAGGTGAAGCAAATTTGATTAGTATTTCAAGTTGCAGAGAAGAAGTGAAGAGGCAACAGCATTTCTGTTTCTTACCTTTCAGTGAGGCAATATTCAAGTCTAAGGATTCTTGTGTTTGACCTGAACCAGAAATGCCCTTTACCATAAAGTGCATGACAGAGATGCTGTTTTTTTGGATGAGCTTAATAATGGCCAAGCTTCTGGTGAAGAGAGAACTTTAGGGTAAAGCAAAGTGGCTCCAGTAGTTGTAGTTTCTGGCTACAATGACACGACTGTTTTAACTTGAAGGGCAGAAACATGCATGAGTACAAACCCAGACAATGCCATAAGAGGGTATATTAAATATGAAGATGAAAATCGCTTAGGGTAATTGTCAGAAGTAGGAATTTCATTGCCTTCAAAGCTACTTACAGCAGTGACAATGCTGTCAACTCTCATTGTTACAAGATGGGATCAATTAATATTTCAAAGAAATAATCGCAGAGAGGTTTAATTACGCAACCCTTTAATACTATCAATTGGAATGAGTTTACCCATTTTAGACTGTCTTTGGTTTAAGGTTAGGAGATTGTTTCATTTTTAGTCTTTATTTTTCACCTTCTGTACAGGGAAGGAGATTCAATAATTTATGGGGTTTGGGGGTAAATGGCCTTGTTTTTTCAAGTTAAGAACTTGAAAGAGATCACTGCAAAAAATTCATGGCTAACCTTACACGATTTCCCTCTGGCAACGTGCATGTGGTATGGATGAATGAACACGTCACTGCTGGTACAACATTGATCCTCTCTTCAATCATTTCTTCAAAAGAAAAAATTCACCCCAGCTCATAACAATGAGAGTCAACTGGTATATGCAGGTTTGATGACTGGTCACAGTTGCCAACAGCACTGGAAGATCAGCAACCATGCATAATCCAACAATAAAGAACTTCACGATAAATTCTGTCGGCAAAAATGAAATAGCTGATCTGAGACGGAGAGACACCTATTGAGGATAAACTTTGCCTTTAAGTACTAAAGGTCTGGATAAAAAGCTGTGATCCAGAATTTTAAAAGTTGTCATTATAAACGGCTGCTAAAATTTTTATTGTAATAGGATTTCAATGCAGTGCAATATCTTTGTAATGAGTAGGTACATTTTCTTTGGGACCCAAAACCTGTGTTAGTTACAACTCGAAATTTGTCAGCCGAATTTGTAGTAACTTAAAGAGAGTCAACAACAATATGAAACAAGTCATTTCAAATAGCAAATTAAAAGTTCAGATGAACTCAATGCTATGCTGTCACTGAATCAAGATTTTTTTCAAAAACTTCAATCATGTTGGCTGATGAAGTGATCTAATGAGTTGTAGCATGTGAACTAATGAACCGCCTGGGTTTTTCCAGTTGCAACTGATGGGACTTAGTCATGAAGCAGTGGGTAAGATTTTCTTTTTACCTTTCAGGCAGCAATTGTACAATGCTACACCAGCCTTTCTCCATGATCCATCTGCCCTCAAAATTTCTACAGCATGTTATTGATTATAGAACACAGTGTACGTAAATTGGACACCATTCGCAGAGGGAACTACATATGTTGATGTGGTGAAGAAATTTGAATACAATTATGATGGACCAAGTGCAGTGGGGGGCAGTGATGATTCCCACACAGACACCGTTTTAATCCATCCAGAAGTAACAGTGGCATCACCAGATTTTGAGTGGGGGAGAGTCCTTTTTTATGCATAAACGAATCCCCTCCCCCCCATCAAAAGTGGAGCATCATTTCTAACATGTTGGCCCTTTTGAAATAGAAGCAAACAAAACAAATAAAATGAAAGAAAACAAAATGCATATGGCCAGCATATCCTCCTCCCATACATTTGGGGGTTTTTTTTGGGGGGGGTGAAAACATAGGTACCGGTACATGTACATGTATGTGCATCCCAATGCAGTACGTGCCAATCAGGCTCTACTGACAAAAAATAAGCCATCCTCAATTAGTTTGATTTCAACTTTGTTCACAGCTTCTGCAAGGACAGTTCCACTGCACTGCAAGTGTGTCCAGACCCAGCATTCTACACTCGGACTTAATCTAACGCAGAAAGTTATCTGGAGTGCTGATCTTGTATTTAGAGCATCAAGAAAAATCCCAATCAAATAGCAGAGTGTGTTGACACTACGATCATTGCACTTGTGACTTTAATGCACCTGGAAGGCAAGGTGGGAAAATCCATGGCCAATTGCAGGTCTTAGCCTTGGAGCCTACTAAATTACTGTACATGCACTCTCCCACATAAACAACAAATGTTTTCAATGTAGCTGTATGTATATGTATGTATATCAT